TCTTTCATTGCTAGTTCAGGGAGTCCAGGTGGTTGAGTATCAGAGTGTTCCATCTCATTTCCCTTTGGGGTTGTTGTAGGTGATCTGGAAGTCTGTTTCTGAGGCTTGTTTACCTGTCTTCTCATTTTGATGGGGCGTGGGGGGATAGGCGGGTATTCCTGATGCCCACGCGGCTCACCTCCTCTATGCTGGGAGCCACAGCATGCCTACCCAGAATCCTTTTCCTGGCTGGGAGACATGGTGCGCCAACCCAGAAGTCTCCCCTGTGCTGAGAGCCATGGCAGTTGCACCTGGAAGTGTCCTCTGGACTGGTAGCTGTGGCACACCAACCCGGAGGCCTCCTCTGGGCTGGGAGCTGTTGGCACACCAACGCGGAGGTCTCATCTGTGCTGGGAGCCACAGCAAGCCCACCCAGAAGCATCCTCTGTGCTGGGAGCCACAGCACGCCTCCTGAGAATCTAAATTTTTTACAGCTACTCTAGTTTAATTCTGAGGCAGGTGGTGCTGTATCCAACTTTTAAAAGGCACTGTATTAATGGACTATTAGGTATAGTCACATATTGTTGTAGGAAATCTAGACCCAGAAAGACAAACCCATTTAAAAGACATGGAGGAAAGCCAAGACTTTATTTGACCAGCTGGCACAGTGGAGGTAGATAAAGACCTGGGCCCTGAAATAAAACATGGGGGAGTTTTATACAGTACTTTAAGTTTGGGTGGTCTTGGGAGGAGCCATAATGAAACTGTCTTGAGGTTGGGACTTTCTTTAGGAACAGGATATTCACATAGCATAACACAATAGGATACATATTGTGAACATTGAGGCTAACTAGATACATTTTTAAGGCTAACAGAGAGGACATAAAAAGATATAAATTGTGAACTTTGAGGCTAACGATATCTATATATGTGTATATATATATATATACTTTTTTTTTCAAGGCTAACAGGGAGGACATAATAGAATACAAATAGTGAATACTAAAGCTAACAGGGTCTGGGGATTTAGCACCATAGTTCTGGTGCCTGCCTTGCAAGCACAAGGTCCTGAGTTCAATCCCCAGTACCAAAAATAAATACTAAAGCTAACAAGATCTTTTTGATCCTGATCTGTGTTGAGCTTGTGCAGATCTCCTGCCCAAAGTGTAACTTTGCCTCTGAGTCTCCAACCTTGTCCCCTTCTTCTCTTCAGTCCCCACCAGAACTGTCTGTGCTGCATCTTTGTGGGCCCAGTAGTTCTTTTCCTGCAATCTAACTTCAGCATCCCACTTGAGGCGACAAGGACATTGCAGAAGTTCTCCCATGCTTCTAGGGAGGTGTAGAAAACTCTAGATGTTCTCTGTAACCCTCTCCTGCCTAGACATATCCCGGCATTGTATCTACTCTGTGGCCCAGACACCGTGATAACATGGAGCTCACCATCTCCTTAGGACTTATGTGGTGATGAGGCATACATTTTCCATTTTGGAATTCCCTAAAGTTTAAGGGATGAGCTGGAAAATAATTTCTAAGCAAAACGGCTTTTCCTGCGGCTAACAAATAACCACCCCAGCTCATATCCCCTCCCACACCTAACACAAGTCCTCCCTCATTGTCCCTTGTTCTCAGGAAGTGTAAGTATCCAGTGTACTTTTCTAGCAAATCATGTATAGTAAACATAACTCCTAAACCAATGAACTGATGATAAATTCCTTGCTTCTGTATCTCCAGCCCCCTTCCCTTAACCCATATTAGCCCTGTTCACTGCCAGCTCCCGGCTGATGGCTTTGTGGAGAAATCCCCGATCAGTCTGCTGATGTAATAAGCTTGCCTCCAACCTCCAGGTGCATTCTCGATTCTTCTTGGCCTGATCTTCCTGTACCACTGAGACCTGCCACACTGTGGAGTATAAGTCTGTGGTTACAGGGGAACCTATTTTCTTTCACCTTCTGAGACTTGCCTTGGATGTGGACTGGATGTAGCTTCTCTCCAGCTAACTATTCCTTTCCTAGTACACATAATCTTTATTTCTCTCGGAGTAGAGAAGAAAGTAGACCAAAGTGTCTGGTGATACTCATTTCCTATGTTTTTAACTTTTTTAAAATTCCAGGGCTCCTGGCACTGGGCTGCTAAAAAGGCCTTCAAGGTTTATATAAAAGAGCAATAGGGGAAAGAAAGAAATCCTTTCACATACCCTTTTTTCCTTCCCTTAGCCTAACTGCTTACTTTGGCATACTGGACATCTGTGGCGTGAAGGGTGGAGAAACAGTGCTGGTTAATGCAGCAGCAGGAGCAGTGGGCTCCGTTGTGGGGCAGATAGCTAAGCTCAAGGTAAGTGTCTTTTTCCAGTAACAAATATTTATTTAGACCCGCAGTGTGCATTGGGAACACAACAGCCTTTTCTTGACCTCAAGGAACTTATGCTCTAATTAATGGACCTTAATTCGAAGTTCAAGGTTGAGAAATGAGGGGCAGCATAGCAAAGATGAGCTGAATAATGTCATTTGATAGCATTGTAGGTATCAAGTCCAAAATGGCCTCCGTCTACAGATGTGAGTTCATAAGAACCAATATTTTCATATGTTTAACTAAACAATCTCTTTCTATAGCTTAACATCTTTTCTCCATGATTGCCTATAATCAAAGAAGGACTTGAGGTCAGCCAAACTAAGAGTCATCACCCACATCGCTGCATTGCACAGGCTGTTGCACCAGAAAGAACTAACTTTTGGGAGGTACCCAGCAGACCTCTGCTCACAGTTTGAAGTTAGAGGACTTTAGGTAGCTCAGATCCAGTTTAACTTAGCCAAAGGCTAGGGTTCAGGACTCAGGACAAGGTAAATGGAAGGCTACACACAACAACCAGTGATTCAGTTTGGTCTCCTGTACTGATGGGAGTTTAGAATATAAATATGAAGCTGCCATGCAGATTGCAGAAATAGTTTATTCAAGCAAATAAGACTAGAAGTTGGATTATAGGAATGCCATTTCTTAGTTAGTGTGTAAACTTTTTTTTCCCAGCATTGGGGATTGAACCCAGAACATTTGAACCGAGCTACATTGTCCCCATCCCTTTTTTTATTTTTTATTTTGAGACAACGTCTCACTAACTGGCTAAATTACCCAGATGAGGCTTGAACCTGAAATCCTACCTCAGCATCCTGTAGTGCTAGGATCACAGGCATGTATCACCATACCCAGTTTAGCATGTTCACTTTACAGTTAGTGAGTTATATTTGCTTTCCAACATGGAACCAATCTCGCATTTCTAGAATAAGTTTTATTTACATATGATATATTATAGAGTTATACCTTTGGAATTGATCTTTTGGAGTTGTGTGCTGGGGAGTGAATCTAGGGCCTTCAGGGTCCTAAGACATGCTGTACCACTGAGTTGCATCCCCAGCCCTCATTTAATAACATTTTAAAAGAGAATGTTTGCATCTGTATTTCTAGGTGAGTTGAGTTTAAAAGTTTTGTTTTTGCAAACTCAGAGTGCCTAGTTAGACTTCATTTATGCTAAACTTACAAAATGAATTAGAAATAGTTCCAGTATTCTTGTTTCAAATATTTTGTCAAAAGCCAAGGGACTTTCATCGTAAACTTTGATGGGAGTTGCCCTTAAAGTTACTGTTTTACACTCAACCCTTCTGTTCATTTTATGTGTATTTTGTGTAAATAGTGGACGGCTGCATTTTATTTCTTCCCTATTTGAAACAGTGTTTTTATAGGTGAATTTAAGCCATTTTGTTTTGTTTATTGGTTATTGGTTTCTCTTCCTGTTGTAAAATTTATTTTTTTCCTAATTACTTAAAATCAATGTTTTGTTTAGATTCTGCCAGTGCTTATATTTAAAATGTCTTATTTATATTCTGCTAGTGTTTGTACACATATTTTCATACAAA